TATTTATCTAATTATCTACCATTCCATCTTGTTCTCTTGTTACAAAACCAATTCTAAATCAACCTTCTGTTTGCAATAATACTTGATAAAAGGTTTAAATGATAAATTAAAATGAAAGAAAAAGAAGATCGTGTCGTTAACAAAAAAATAAATGATATATGTTAAATAATCTTTTTTTTTTTTAATTCAAAAAACAACATCAACAAAAAATATAAAAAAAAAAAAAACGAAAGACTTGTCATTAATAGGAAATTAATATCTGTGAATTAGTTTTCGGTTAAGTACAAAAAAAAATATTTAAAAAAATAATAAAAGAAGTGCAAGACAAGATTCAGAAAAATTAATAATAAATATCGTGATATGATAATCACGATATGTCTGTGAATGATTTTCAATCAAGAATAAATTAAAAAAGTAATAAGAGAGTCACGATATTTTTACGTGAATCACGATTTATGGAAATTAAATGGAAAAGAATTTACTTGTAGATCTCATAATCGTCTTCTATTTTTTGTTAGATCTTTTTTCTATACGTTTCTCATTAAATCGTTGATCCCCATTTTTTTTATATTAATATCTTAGTAAGGTATTATGAAAAAAACAATTGATGATTAAAAAATTTCATTAGTGAAAATGTATATGAGTGAAAAAGTTAAGAAGATTAAAATTAACTTTTATAAGAAAAAAAAGAAAAAAAAAAGTAAAAGATTTTTCATTTCAAATAAAAATAAAAGATACTAAAAATATTTGCTCGTTAAACCAAAGGGATTAAACTATATACGGGGTGTTCCAAATATCTTCGATTGGATTAACTTTCCCCCAGTTATTCGAGATTTGTGATTAACCTACAAATAATTACATAATACAAAAAAAAAAAAAATAAATAAAAATGAAATTTAAACGAGAACGAGTGAAAAAAAGACAAATTAGAACAAACAAATTAATATCGTAATATTACAAATTAAAAATATAAAGTTAAATATAAAAAATAGAATACGAATATGATATTCTAATTTAAAATGGTATAAATCATATTTTACGCAAAAGAAGAAGGATAGTGTATAAACTTTTTCAATTGTTATTATAAATAATATTCTCCTACAGTATGTCCTATATTTTTTTATTACATTTTGTATATATAATGAAAAATATTTCATAATTAATAAATATAAAATTTATAAAATATTTATATATGTGAAACAAGTTAAACAAAAATATAATAACAATAACAATAATAATAATAATAATAATAATACTAATAAGAAGAACAAAAAAAAAGAAACGAAATCCCGATAGATATGGAAAACGGAAGTGGAATAGAATCGAGTCGAGTATAGTTGAGTCGGTCAGTCTGACAGGTAGGCCACGTGGAGGATATATCGGGTGGTTATGTTCGAAGTAGAGAGAGAGCTAATACACAAGTACATTCACCAGGGCAACGAATGCACTTGCACTTTTTAAGAGAACCTGTTTCCTCACCAACCGCAACTGACACACAAGAGATCCTTGTTCGCGAAAAACCACACCCACGAAAGAGAAATAATCAATGTGAAAAAGAGAATTGGTATATGTGTCTGATAACACGAAAGTCCGAAATTGGATAATGTCAAGATTCGTATTGTTAATTGTCTACATATATCTAATACATCGGTGAATGATCGATTATTTAAATATTTTCTTATAAAATTCGCACACCATACACACACACACCATAATCGGTTTATGTTCGTCAAAAATTGATACGGTTTAATATAAGAAGGTTTTTTTCTAATTTATTAATGATAGTATTTTCTTTTATCATTTAGAATGTGTTAGTTAATGTTAATTTTAAGTTCAACAATTTTATTTACACACTTTGTTATATGACGTAATATGTTTTAATATATTAAATGTAATATTTTATATATAATGTTTTATTTTTTATATTTAATTTAATATTTTATTTAATGTTTTATTATATAAATATAATAATTTAATGTATGTTTTAATATATATTTAATATTATTTAAAATTAATATGTTTAAATATTTTTATTCAATGTTCATTCTGTCGGTGAGTGGTGAGTATGGTTATTAATTTATATAAGTCAAAAATAAGGATATTTAGCAAATATTTCGGATATAATCAAAAAACGAACACGTGAGTCTTGATATTTTCCAATTTTGGTCTTTTACGAAAACATTTGCACAAGAGAAAGAAAGATAGTATAATAAATAAAGAGAGAAAGAAAGAAAATAGAATAATTGTTTTCTCTTATAACAATTTATAAGTTAAAAAAAAAAAAAAATGATTATATATTATTCGTCGTAACTTTATTGAAAAAGAAAAAGAAAAAAATAACAAGACAGAAAAATAATGTCGTAAGTGTATTTTTTTTTTTGGTTTGAAAATTTGCAAGAAAGATTTAAAGACGTTTTGCATCTTCGTGCACCTTTGAGAAAGTCATCACGAAGTTGGAGAAGAGTTGTTACACCGAACATACGTTATATATCGTATATTGGTTTCCTTTTTTTATACTTCTTCTTTTTCTTCTTTTTAAACATCAATAAATAACATTCAATAGTCACTTTTATGTGTTAGATCTTGAACGAAAACGTTTTTTCTTTTTTTTTCTTTTTTTTTTTATATCGACATCCGCAACTCTGACGATTTATTTTTCACGTTTATAATATGGCGCGAAGGTATATCTATATATATATATATATATATATATATATATGATTCTTTGCGAAAATGTATTATTATATCTTTGAATTCGATCGTTAACGTATTGTTCTAATCCTGTTTTTCATTTCTTTTCTTTTTTAATTGTTTCTCTATTTGAAAAAACAATTTAAAAAAAATCGTCAAAATGTGTGAAGAGAAAAAAATAAACGTAATAATAAAAAACGTTTTCTCTTTTTTTCTTTTTTATTGTGTGTTTCTCGAAATGGCGAAAATATGAACAATACGTTTTAACGATAGGTAAACGTATCGTACGAGTATTTTTTGTCGTATTTTTTCAAATAGTTTAATCCAAAGCTGATATTTTTTATGATACATAACTTTAAAAAAGTAATACCGTAAAATGTTTCCTTTTTTTTTTTTAACATGTAATTTCAATAAATTGAGAAAATGGACAAATAAAAGCTTTCCGTTGTTACATACAATGTTTAAAAAAAAAAAACGTTTTTTTATTTCTCTAAATAGAAAAAGAAAAATCATGACGAATATAATACATGACTCAATTCAGTAGAATTTTATTCAACCATAAATCGATTCTTCAATCATACATTACTCCAAATTACAAAGTTGAAAATAGAATCTCATTGGTTGAGTTAATTAATTAATTAGGTGATTACTTTTTAACCCTTTCAATTACTATGGATTATTATTTCTGTCGGTAAAGTTTGACGCTCGAGAGGTTAATATAATTGTTCGTATTAAATATAATATTATTTTGTTAAAAATTAAATGTAAACAAAAGTATATGTTTATTTTCAATCTTACTTTTATCTAATTTTCGTTGTTGCTGTTGTAACATGTGTAGCATGACTGATTACTTTTATTCAAGATCGTTTAAAAGATACGCTTGGTTCGCGTAGTGTGTCACGTTTCCATTCGCTAGAGAATGATATTTATTTTCTTTAGAAATCTTGCATAAGCGTTTATTGCATTTTGGAATAAATATTCTCCATTTGTTTTCTATTTATTAGCCATTTCTTTTTTTTATTTCTATCTTTTCGTTATATCTTTTCGATACACGTGTAACAATTTTGTTTTTACAGAAATATATATTGAATAAAAGAAAAAACATTGGTTTATTTGTTTGTTAGATCAGATGAAAAAATAATGAAAAAATAGTTGACGAATCAAAAAAAAAAAAAAAGAGGAAAAGAAAAGTACGAGAAAAATATATATTGCTGATTGATATAATTAAATAATCAAGAAAGTGTACGTGACGTTTTTGAATTTGAGAATATCATTTAATTTTTTTTTTTTGCAAACAGCACGACACTTTCTTTATTATTTGATACTAATAAAAAAGATATATATTATTATGTATATATTATAATAAAAGGTGATTAAAAAAAAAAAAACTTCGTGCCGTTTTAATCAATAAAAAACGAATGATGTGCACATAAACTTAAAAACGGTACGAACTTTCTTGATCATTATTAATTTGATACTGAAAATATTATCAATTAAATATAATTAATATAATATATAATATTTTATAATATTATATAATTTTATAATATATAAATTAAATATATAAATATTTTAATATTAAAATAATAAATAATATAATTAATTTTTTAACATCCATCAAATAAGGAAGGTAATTAAAATTGTTGAAAAATAGTTGAAAAACGAAAAAAAGAAACTTATGTAATGTTGAAATCATCATAAATGACTTATGTATTAATTTTTCATGAAAATCAGGGCGGAGGGGAGTAAACTTTAAAGAGGCACGTGCCTAACTTAAGGAAAACAAAAGAAATACGATTATTTCATTGCCTTCGAGGCAATCACTATCTCATATACTATATATATATATATACACACAAATGTATTTACGTCTTTGGTTGTGTGTGTTTCGGTCGGACCGCTTAAACTTTCACTAGAGTTTTTATTAGAACGCGCACTCGTTACGCGTCGTCGTTTACCGTTTAGAAATCGTTGTTCTGTTCCTTTCTTGTTCTTCCACGTGTTTTGATTTTTTTTTTCTTTTTTCTTTCTTGTAATTATTCCACCAAAAAAAATTTCACGAAAAAAAAAAACAACTCGAAAACAAATAACTCTTATGTTTATTGTATTATTTAAAATCAAATATAAAAAGAGGAAGAATCGAATTTTTTCAAATCAATGATAAAATTATCCTTAAATAATTTCACATATTTATAAAATATTTCGTTTACAATCGAACAATACCGTCGTTTATTATTATTAATTTGATTTATTATTTTTTATTTATTTTTTTTTTTTTACTAATATTCTCATTTATAATTTTATTTCAGAATGAAGGGAGGAAACAAATATGGCGCTGCTCTATTGCTATTGGTCCTAATCAATTTGACATCGTCGGCCATGGTTTTACCAAGACCACCATCCTCGCCTAATCACATACACGAAGATCACGAAATAAACGATAGAAAAATTTATGAGGGTGGTAAATCAGTTCACGGTTTCTTTCAAAATACTAACGTAGAGAGACCTGACACGGACAATAATTACAGGTAAGTCAACGATCTAGTGAAACTATGGAATTCACTTTTTTTTTTTTATTCCTTTTTTTTATCTTTTTTTCTCTTCCCTTTTCTAACGCATACTCGTGAAACCTGTTACAACACGATCCTGCTAATGATTATTAACATATATATATATATATATATATATATATATATATATATGTTAATATGTGTAATATATATATATACATTGCTTAGATTAGATAAAATTACCTAATCACGATAGCAAGATTATCCCTTCACGGATTTGTTTTCTCTTGTTCGAATTTTTGTGTTCTCATTTCTTCTTTCTTTTCTTCTTTCTTCTCTACTCTTCTCTTCTCTTTTTTTCTTTGTTTCGTTTAATCGGTATTGAAATTACATACCGTTGCCGAGCCAGATCACTTTCGCTCATTGCTAAATGATGGATGTCTCAGAAACTAGGCTAACTCGTTAGCCTGCTCACAAAGACGGTAAAAGTCATCTAAACGTGTTATTACGGTTTCACGAGAAAATATAAAAGATTTTCATTGTGTTCGAAAACAATTCTTATTCTATGATAATAATCCATATTTGTTATTATTTAATTTTCATATTCATTCTTTTTTCAAATAGGCTTGTTGAAATCGAAGTTCAGAGTGCTGGGGACGTAGATCCAGAAAATCTTCAAGGATTGGTCCACGCAGTATTGAAAAATCAACAAACGTTACAATCATCAAACGAAAGTTACCCTAATCCCGAAGTAGTACCAAATTCGATATTAGGTGTAAGGAATATTGGTATATCATCGAACTTCCGTTTGGATGGTTATGACGAATCAGAGAAAAGAGTATTAATGAGTCCACCTAAGTTACACAATCTCGATGAAAAATTATATTATTTGAAGAATGGTAAACCAAAGGTTTACGTTAACGTAAGAGGTAACAGTGGTACCTTCAGGAAAATAGAAACAGGACCTAGAAGTACTTTCAGCGAAGGTCCCTTGGATTATCTTCGAGTAACTAGACCCTTCGAAAGGCAAACCGATTGGAAAACTAAACATGAGAAAAAAGTTAAACCACCGAAAAAGTTTGATCGACGTGTTCACGATACCGATAATATGGAAGTAACGAAAAATTCTGTACAAAATTCTGAAGTCAGTGGTATGAGGGAACGTGCATGGGCCTTGGGTTCTGAACATTTGTCAACAACGGAAAATTCAATGGTAACTTCTAGTGAATTACCAAAACAAATACCAGCGCCACCTAGTAAGGTATCCGGTAGACTTCATATGGCACAAACTACACCTGTACAAAGGTATTCTTTAAGAAGGACCGAAGTTATGCCGGGTTATAGGGTTTACGAAGACTGACCGTATTCCTGGCTAAATACTATGAAAAGTTATTGTCCAGGAGTTGTTCTAGTTGTTGTTGTTTTTATGGAAATCATCGTTATCGTGGATGTTCCAAGCTGAGGGATTATAGATCATGTTGGATCTAAGGTCCAGTTGAGTCCAATCTTTATCAGCATTTTAAAACAAATATTTATAACACAGGCAGCATATTCCAAAATTATACTAATTCTAAGGATAAAAATTGTTATACATAAAAATAAGTTTATAGTTTTAAACAAAATTTTGTTTTACAATTTTTTATGATATGTTAATTGCTATGTGGCTTGCGAATTGGACAACTCTGGTCTAAGGGATTTAACAGAAACGCCAAATGATGATAAAAAAACGATGAGTTCGCTATATATATATATTGACTTACAACATTTTCATACGATGAATTAATTTTATAAAAATAAAACAATCTTGAGATATTATTGTTCCTACAAATAATTCTCGATAAATCTTGGCCGTGTGATTTTGAGAATAAAATTTATCCGTTCGAATATAATTGTAAAAAACAGGTGTCATGTAAATTTGTAAATTTGCATAGAAATTGATTAGCTTGCTTGATTAGCTGTGATTCTTTTGCTTTTAGTCAAAAGATCTTGTATTTTACTTTTTTGTTAAAAAAAAAAAAAAAGAAGAAGAATACAAAAAAGTAGACGTTAGTTTGAGCTAACGTGGAAATTTACTTGGATTACCTAATGTTTTAAACAAAAAAAAAAGAAAATAATAAAAGATTTACAAATACCATTATTTATAAAATAGATGATAATAATATATATATAGCTTGTATTATATATAATATATAATTTAACTAATATTATATAATTTAATAGAAATTTTAATAACAATCGTAATAATAGTAATATATGTATTATGATTATTTAACGATACGATAATGTCGAGCAATAAAAAAAATATGTGCCGATAATTAATCGAATAATATTAAACAAAACAAAACAAACATACACACTTACCTGTTCAGCCTTTAACGTTAATTCTATGAAGATTTGTTGTAATTTTTCATTAACGAAATTAATGCAGAATTGTTCGAAACCATTTTTCTCGAATATTTCGAAACCGTAAATGTCCAATATTCCAATTTCGTAACTATCGGTATTAGTTTCCATCGCCGAATTTACTCTCTACGAAATAACAAATAAATATCAACATTAATAAAAAAATAATAATAATGTTAAAAAATATTTATAAAAAAAAATATATTTATATAAACATTAGAGTTAATCAAAAATTCGTGCGTTTATTGTGTTGTTTCGGATTAGTGCAATTTTTTTTTTTTTTGTATGCGAGTGAAATATTAATAAAGAAGAACTTTTGATTCACTCTAATATTTATATAAAAATATAAAAGAAAAAAATATAATACACAATATAAAATTAAAAAATATCAATATTAATTATCTTTTTTTCTTCAAAAAAAGAAAAAAAAAAATGTTAAAGTAACTTACCTTAACCAAATGATCGAAAAGTCTGGTATAAACATCCTTAGCCAGGGCATCTCGTGTATAAAGGGCTTGTTCAACGTTCAAAGTCACGTCTACACTTTCAGAATGGCTTCCCCATTTTGATTCGAATTCACGAGACGTCAATTTGTGCGACAACTGTTCCGCAGAGATTCCGAATAGGTAAGCAGGAAAATCGAGAACTAAATAAACGATAAAACGTGATCAGAATAATAAAATGTTTATCATTTTTCATAACACGATAAAATTTCAATTTCACTTCATTTCTAACATTTGAAAACATTCTATTTTTCTTACTTTTTTTTTTATTAAAAAATATAATGAATATACTAACATTGTTTATCAGCAATTTGCGAATAATTTCCTTTTTCAACGAATTGAATATTTCCAACATGAAGTATCCCTGCTACCAACTTAAATATGTCAGATACTTCATTGTTTTGTATTCCCATAACTCGTAAAGCTAAAGAAAGAAAAACATTAAGATCAAATATAAAAAAAAATTCACATTAATTAATTAACATATGATAATAATATTGTTAACACTTTAATGGCCGCACGTGTACGCAGTCAAACGTCGTCAGGGGCCCGGTAATATTTTTCAAGAATTAATTTAAAAAAAAACTTTATTGTCATTCACGAAAAAATTAACATAAAACAAAAAACAATACAAATTTAATTTTATATATAATTTTAAATATATATAAAGTTATAAATAAAATATTAGCCAATGTTCTGGCTATCACACACATGTTGTGTGAGCGGCCATTAAAGTGTTAATGATAAAATTTATAATACCTTTCAATGTTTCTTGAAAATCACGAGCATCGTTGGTACCTTCCACTTTATGATTACCACCATAACTCAAATATTGATAATAATCAAGATCAGTCAATCCCAATTCAGCTGTAAGACAAAAAATACCATTTATTTATATATTTCATTTGTTTTTTAGATATATGTATGTTTGTATACATGTGTCTGTGTGTGTGTGTGTTATATGTGTATAGAATAAAAAAAAATATGTTTCACTTAAATCTCATACGAATTGAATCTTGAAAATTCTTGACACGCGTTTAATGAATTTCTATTCACTTACATTTCATTTGAGAGTCAGCACCGGTTGCCAATTGATAAAATATATGAAAGTTCCTTTCTCCGGGATTGTGACATGTCACTCTGGATTTTTCTAATAAAAAATTCGATATTTTTCCACCGTTTGGTTGTCCACCTGTACCGAATTGTATCTCAACGTATTTACCCTGAAAAAAAAAAAGTTAATTAAATAGATAATTTCTCGACATTTTTTTTACACATGAATTAAAAATAAATATGTGTAAGTATAAATTAAAATACCCCCTCCCTTAACTGATTAAAAAAATAGTAAATATATAATATAATATATAATATAAATTATGATAACAACTTTTGTATCTGTCACAAATTAACTTTTAATAAAAAAAAAAAGGATAAATAATTTATTGAGGTTTAAAACTTTTCAATCCGTTCTTCTATATACATTCTTATAAGAAAAATAATTATTACTACGTCATAAAAATAATTCAGAACTTATAAAAAAATTATTTACTTATAACTAAAAAAACAAAAAGAAATGTACGAATATATTTTTAGCATATAATTTATAATAAATATGATAAAAACGTACAAATCTGCTGCTATTATTGTTTCTCATAGTTTTGGCATTGCCGAAAGCTTCTAAAAGTGGATTAGATTCCAAAATCACGTCTTTAACTCTCTGTACTTTTTCACCACCCCCACTTATCCTTGCTATATACGACATTATGTATTTAGCTGCTACAGTTTTACCAGCACCGGATTCACCGCTAAAAATAATACAAATTTGAATTAAAAAAAAAAAAAAAACAATCTATAAAAAGATAAGATATCTATATACTTACATAGGTAAATATGTGTATGTGTATGTGTGTATTATTTACCTTATAATAACACATTGACTCTCATTATCGATCAACATGTTTCTATACATGTCATCTGCCAATCCGTAAATGTGTGGAGGATTTTCGTAGGGTGCCTAAACAAAATTAAAAAATTTTTAAATAATATATATATATATATATATATATATTAAAAAGAATTTTAATATATATATATATATATATAGATTAAATATAAATTAATAATAACGCAAGAATTTTATATATTTTCCATACAAAAATTCAATTATTGTAATATATATATATTTGCATTACAATGTATAATACACACATACGTGGTTGAGTTGAAAAGTTTTGAGCCTGAATATGAAAACAATTTTTTATATGTCAAACTAATTTTTAAATTAATTGTTCGTTGAAACTCAAAAGAATCATATCATTAACCCAATCACGTATGTAGTATATATATAATATACTTTAATATATAAAATAAATTATTTATTTAATTTAATTAGATAATAGAATAATGATAAATAAATAATATAACAATAGTTACATAAAGTAGAGAAATAAATAATTAAATAAATTTATTCACATTAATTACTACGAAACATTTTAATGCAAATAGTAGCTCCTGTAGGTATATAAAACTGTATTACCGACGTAGAAAGTTTAATCATCATTCAGGGGCAATTGATACGAATTCAAACAAGTATATATACTTATTTATAATAATTCTATTTATATATAATTATATATATAAAGAACGTAGAAGTTTATTTGAAAACTTACGGCTCCTTGGTAAATTTCTATTTCCTTTTCACCAAAATATGGCATTTGTTTAAATGGGTTGATCGATACCAGGACAGGGCCGATGCATGTCTGACAAGAATTAAGGAAATTTTTCAAAGTCATGCCGTAACCTCGCAATCGGTTTAACGATTGTAACAAATTTATCTCGAAAAAATGAAGTAAAAGAAGTTTATCGATTGATTTAAAAAAAAAAAAATGGTGGAAAAAGACTATAATTATTTTAAAGATAATAACATTTTTTATATTAATTTTTTGTTCTTTTTTGATAAAATTTATAAAATTTTATTTTATTTTTATTATTTTGTTCAAAAGAACAATCTAATTTTGTATTACGTGCTGTTACTCTATGTTAAATTGGTTTTACTATGAAATTTTGTTCTAATCACGTAAAACAGTAATAAAACTGTTGAAAATATTTTTTCGCATATATTCAACGAAATAATCAATAATTTGTCAATAAAAGGATACGAATATATAATCGTCTATATATCTTTTTTTGAGATTTTCGAGAATGGCTTCCTCTGTGATTTTTGGAAGTAGCACCATGTCGTCCACCCCCGAAACTTTGACATTTTGACTTTGCCAATGATAAACCTGAAAGAAAAAGTATATTAAAATTATCAAAAAATGAAAAAAGAAAAAACAAATTATGTGCAATCATTCATTTAGTAATATCTATGTTGATCTTTTAATACAAGATCAATAAAAGAAGATATCAATTTGTTTTAATCGAACGTAACCTAAATACGTTTACTATTTTTAACACGAACATGTCTAAAGAAATTTTTCTTTTACGTATGATCAGATAACTAAATGTACAAAACTTCGATTAATCTTGATTAGTTAAAACCTTTTACAACAGCTTTGGTTAATAGCATTTAGTCGGCACAGTTTTAAAACGAATAAAAAAAATAAATAAATGTAGGTCGTGAAAAGGGTGGCGCCACTGTCGTGCCATTGTCGTAGATCTTAACTGTTTTACCGTCATTAACCCCCATACATCTCGTTTGTCAGTGTGCCATGAAAATCCTATTAGGATTCTCTCTGGCCTTTACGACTTTTAATGATCCTGATTGGTTTTGACAAGCAACGTTGCTCGCTTCGAGAAAATCGATTGAAACGTTAACCTCCAATAAACATTATTCACTTCTCTTGCACTTAAAAACTTTCATGAAAATACAATCTCTAATTTAGCACAAATGTTCCATTCAAAAATAGTTTTTAACAGTCGAATAAGTTCATTTCAATTTTTATTTCTGCATTAAACAATCATAGCAATGATATTCTAAATAAATTTTTAATACTTTCGAATGGTGTGTTTCAACTATTCGACTATAAATATTTAATAATTAATTAGATATTATAGATTTATTTATTGTAATAATTTTGTTAATAAAAATTGAATAGAAAATTCTATTTTAACGAAAAGATAAAACAAAATGTTCGCAAAGATAACAAAACCGAATCTAGCAAGAATATTATTGTTGATATTGTGATTGCACTAATCTATAGTTTTTTTCAAATTACAACAACGATTGATATAATCTTTAATATTATCTGTATATAAATAATAGATTTGATGTGTAGATATGTGAAACTATGTTGACGACACGCGATAATCAGGAATGGTTGGCTGGCTCATTGACAGAAATACTGCAAACGTAAGCGTATTACGTATCGATCCGAACTTTTAACACTTCCTAACATTTCCGTTTGCTTGACGATGAGAAAAGATAACGAGATGAGAGATAATTGTTAAAATATTAAACCTTTCAACCTACTATACTAATTAATATTTCGTAATTCGACGCAAGTGGACCCATCTGTTTCTTTTTCGTAATTTAATTACATTATGTTCTACTACCTTGTATTATTACTTTTCAAAAATAAAATAACTCATGGCAGAAAACGTGTTTCATTTTCCATAGGATTGAGAAACAATTTCTTTTTTTATTTTTGAAGATAATTTATTTGTTTATTAGTATTGTACATATAGGAAACTATTTTATGTGGACAATTATTATATCTGACAATGCAGGTAGTTAATTTTTTTATAATATGTAATTTTATATAAAGATCATATTAATTTTTATAGAAACATGTAGACAGTGACAATATTTCCTAGGATAATTTTTATTCGAAATAATTTATTTATTTATTTAGTATTATATATGAAAAACAAATTATTTCAAAAGTAAGTTGGTACAATTGTTGCATCGAACATTGTGCATATAATTAAAACGACATTTTTAATAATAACTAAACTAATAACTAAATTAATAAATAAACTAAATTAAAATACTTAACTAATTGAAAATATTATTCGTATAGAAATAAAGTATTATTATTTAAATTAATATATTTATTGTTATATTTTAAAGAACAAAAATTCATGTGGTACAATAATTGTACACGACCGTACATTGGTTACGTATACTTATGTAAAATGAAAAAAAAAAAAAGAAATGAATAAGAAAATGGTCTTTACCGCATCCTGAATGTGAAAGAAAGAAAAAGAGAAAAAGACAGAGAAATTGTGAAAGAGAGGATGAGCATAAGTTGGTAAGCAGAACAGTCATTGTAGTATAGTTGCACGAGAAGCGGAAATGGTTCTCGTATTTTCCTTTCCTCTGAAATTTTTTTTTTCTTTTTCCTTCACTTTCACACTTTTTTAATTATAAGCACAAAATATTCTTCACGATTTGGTAAATCTAAAAACTCTAAGTGCAATTACGTATTTGTTCCGACAAAATGTTGTACAATATTTCATTTTATGATTTTAATTTTATCACCCAATGTTACTTTACTTCTTTTTTAAAACAAAACAAAAATTGTAGAAAGAAGAACATTTTGTATTTTAGTATTTTATTATAGTATTAAATTTTTATTTAATTATTATAGTTTATATTATATTTAATATTATTTATATAATTAATATTTATATTATATTTAAATTATTATAATATTAAAATTTCATTATACAAAGCAACGCAACGAAATAAAATAAAATAACCGGACCAAAGAAGAACGATAAAGAAAATAATTTAAAATTAGACCAAAAAAAAACACACACACATACACTTCCATCCCTTTCCCTAAAAAAAAATATCAAATCACCTAATCGACAAGATAAAAGTAGTAAACAAAAAAATAATTGTTTTTATGACAAATTGAATAATACGAGTAAGGCTACTTTAAAGAACAAAAATATCAAACAACCTTAATCCCAAAGGTTTAATTATTAAAAAAAAAAATAAAAATGAAATTATAATTTTCAAATTAGAAGATAATATAACAGTTTCATAGGAAAATTGTATCGGTCATTGTTCTGTTCTTAAACACCTATATAGTCAATGATATAGGTCGGATGAGGTCAAAGAGATAGGCTTGGCTTAATTATTGACATAAATCACTATAGGATATGGTCGTTGTTAGAAGCTAATCTCTGAACGCGCGGGTCCATTGAGGTGATTTCACGGTTTCCGGTTTCTGCTCAAGCTTGGGGTCTCCTGCAATGAAACTGTCTGTTCGTTCACCGGAATTCCGCTGGCAGCTGCCAACGAGATATTCTCCTCCCATCTTCGTACAATCTCGACATTCTACCTTCCAACCCATTTCTCTATATATATATGTATTTCTCTATGTACATATATATAAAGCTGAAGTATAGAAATCAGTTATTCCAAATATTATTTAATTGTAAGTAATATGCAAATTAACTAAAGTTATTCGTTAAAGTATCGAAAATTGTTTTATTTCACAATTTTTCTAGATAATCTGATAATCTATTAGGAACTTATGTTAATTAAAATGAAAATAAAATCTCTATGCTGAAACAATAAGCAACGTTTCTATAAGTTGTTTCTATAAATTAATGTATAATTATATAAATTAAATATTTTTATTTATAATTTTCTACTTAACGCATTAATTATTTATTTTCATTTTACTAACAATAAAAATACAATTATTTTATGTAATATTCTATAATAATAGTTATATTAAACAACGATAATTCGTTAAACGTTATTAAAATTAGCACCTTGAATAAAATTAGCAATTATTTTACTTCATTTATTTATAATTATTCGTAAGTTTTACGTATATTCTTTTTTTTTTTTTTTAAATAGTACGGATATAATAATTTTCTTACAATTAGATATCATAGAACAAGGTTGTATAATTAATTAATTAATCGTTTAGGACAAACGTAATTGTGAAAAAACGACGATAGTAATAATGCACTTAGCATCATTAATTGTACGCAACTGGGAATATATACAGTATCTATATTATACTTCTTGTAAATATAATCCCCTACATCCAACCTCCCTCTTCCTCCCAACCCCCCGTAATAGAGACGTTTATTGTTCTGAACCCGCACGTGCCATTAATCAACATTAATAGAGAAGCTTCCTAGACAATTTCCAATTACAAACTAACAAAGAATTAACATACCATTTTTTTGTCATTAGATTTTTTAAAGATNGAAAAATACTTTTTTCTTTTTAAACAATTACTATTTTATTATATATATATATATATATATATATAAATGATTGTGTGTATGATGTACATAAAAATAAAATTAATATTATATTTAATTATATAATTATAATTAAATATAATATATAATTATATTTAATATAATTAAATTTATATGTGTATAATTTAATTATTTATATAATTATTTTAAAATAATATAATATAATTTAAATTAATAATTAATATATTAAATAATTAACATAATAAATTTAATTTAATATATTATATTATTTAACGTAATATAATTATTTTAAGATAATTTATATATATATTGTTTTATTATTTATCTTATTATATTTCACATATATAAAATATTTATTAAATTTTTATTTCTATTTATATAAATAGAAAGAAACACATTCGGTGACTTGAAATAAATATTAAATTTGTTTTTTATTTTTTTTTTATCAACGTACTCGATAAGAGCTAAACAATTAACGCTTATTTTCGTGTACTATTTGTAATTACCGAGTTTATAATTATATGTACTTGGCATACAAAAAAAAGTTCGTCGCAAATTTCGTAATCTGCGTCAAAAATAAACAATTTACAAGTAAAGGAAAAACATTGAAACATTATTTAAACTTACAACACACGAGAAACGTGTCTTCAGTTATTTTTTATTATAAAAATATATAATAATACAACTATTTATTATATATTTATACAATTGAAAGAACTAAACGATTTTTCTTCCGTTAAACGAGAAGATGCATGAATTTTATATAAAAAATAAAATAAAATAAAATAAAAAGAAAAGAAACAAACATGGAAGATAATTTTTGTCTGATTTAATGCAACCGATAAGAGAATCTTTCATGATAAATTCGAAGGTAATCGTTTTCGTATCTGATAAGCTACCAAACAGTCGAATAAAGCACGGAAAAGTATTTACACACGCGAATATACGTATTTTCGTTCTGTGAATAAATTCGTGTTATTAAATTTATTTCTTATTTCATAATGCATATTTAATAGATATATTGTATATTAAGCTTTGTTCTTTTTTAAATTTAATAATAAAAATTCAATTTTTTATACGATTATTC